AATGTCAAAGTCAGCTTCATATAGAAACAAAGTCTTCGTTAGTTATAAGAAGAGATTTTCTTAAATATAATACCTTTACGGCACTCACATATTGACAAGGTTTTACTATTTATTTTATTATTCTTTAATTTTAATTATCTGTTTATAAACTATAATGTATTCTTTAAGAAAAACTGTATAAACCCAAGATTAAATCTTTGCGAAACATCCAAAAACCAACATACTGTCGTAAAAATTTCGAGCTTTATTAATATTCTTTAGTTTTTAGCCCATTCAATTTTAGTATAATAAAGTGCAAGTTTAAAGTAGCTGGGACTTACCGTTGAACTTGGCAATTTTGTTTTGTCGACGATGTCAGCCATTTTCTTCCATACGAAGTGTGTTCGACGATTTGTTTATATGGAGGAAATTAGCAACACCTTCATCAAAGAAATCTTAAAAAACTTAGTTATATTAAAATTTAATGGGCTAAAAAACCACACACTTAAAATAAATCTAGGAAATCGAATTAAATAGATCGAAATTTTTACGAAAGTGTGTTGGTTTTTTTAATGTTGCACAAAGTTTGAACCTTGGATTTGTACGGCTTTTCTTAAAATATAAAGCGTATTTTTACAAATAATAATTAAAATTGAATAATATTAAGATAAATGGTCAAATCTTCTCGTAAAGGTTTGATAAGCACTTGAAATTCTATTAAAATGTCAAATTTTAGTACTGAATCCAAAGAAAATGTCTCTTTTATCCATTAATAATAACTTAAATATGCTTTTTGTTAAGATGTATACCTGAAAATGTGTGCATACATATTTTGCGTCAAATGCAATACATGTGCACGTGGAATCAATTTGTAAAAGTGTAAAATACGTAAACGTATGTACATAAACAATAAAACTTTCTCATGAATACCATAAAATCATTGGTCTTGAAGGGAATGTACTAAGAAAATATATGAGCGAATTAAAAAGTGTATACAATTTATAGCCGAAAAGTACATTTTTTGTATAGATTTCGTACTGAAGGAACAATTTTATATCCCAACACTGATACAGAATGTAAACAAACACAGGGTTGCAAGGAAAAAAAGTTGAACGAGCTCAAAGTTGGCTGGCGACCAACTTTGTTGAAAGCGATTAGTTGAAAGGCCGTTCGGACGAGGCGATTTTTGCTTTCAACTAAAAGTTGCCTGAAAAATCGCCTCGTGCGAATGCCCTATAAACGACGAATATGTATATCGCTTGAACAATATGTAAGTGTTTGGCCTAGCTTCTCCTCCGATATGCGGCGTGCGTGATTTTGTCACACAAAGTTAAGCTGAAATTAGTCAAGAACGTAAACCTACCGGTACGTAAACCCGAGTCAGCTGACACGATCTGTCTTACCAAAGCGCCATGTAAATGAAAACTCAACACCGCAGAATTTTTCTGTAGTTGTAGCCCGTAGCGCAGAAATCTGCGGAATTTAGATTTTTCCGTGTCAGCTGATTTCTCCTTCTTTAGATGGTTGCCAGTTCGTCAGTTTTACAGATGGTAAAAAAGATATAAGTTCCTACTCCAAATATGTTTAAAATATTTGAAATTTACTATTGAATAAGTTTTTTGTTGAAAACTAAGTAGTTTATATTTAGCTAAAATCTATTATAGCACGAAAAATTGTAGTTGAAAGGGTAAGTTTATGAAAAGGCATTGATGAGTGGCAACAGTGTAGTAAGCAACACTGAGGGCTCCAGTAATCGACAAAATTCTGCGTATACAGACTGCGTTTAAGTATACGTTCTGCGTTCTCGACTAATTTCAGCTTAAAGGACAGTTTTACGCCGACTCCGAACGGCAATTGTATTTTAATGAGAAGTTGTTTCCATGACAGAATACACTCGGAGGTTTACTATTACCAGCAGAGGGGCAACCACTATTAGAAAAACTGGGCTTGAACTCAGGCTCTGCGTAATGCTCTACAGCAGCCGGCACTACTTTTACATATATTGCTGGTATATTCAAAATACTATCCCGAACTTAGGAGTGTATATATGTAATATAAAAAAGAATGAGAGGTACTATTAGAAAATGTACCCAAAATTCTGGAGCAAATGAAAAAATGCTCATTGAAAATAGCTCACATGTATAAATTAAAAGATATAACTTAATAGGTTACAGCGCTAAACAAAAGGAAAAGTTAGAAAAAATAACAATGCGGTTTGAAGGAAACATGAAGCCATAAAATGCTTGTTTGTTTCGTTAATACTCTGAACTTTGTAAGATATGGCACTGTATTATTTGCAGTAGTTTGCAAATATTCACTAATGGTTCTAAAATCGCAAACATTTTCGTGGGATGTTTTTGTTTGATTTCGAATTGAAAATATATTACGATCATATTGTACCGAAATAAGTGCGGTATCCCTGCATTTTTGTAAAAGCCAGAAAGAAGCATAAACTGTATGAAAAAATGAAAGGGAGAAGTATACATGCCTTCTATAATTTTGACTTATATGTATATTTGGCAAATCTTTGTGTAAACAACAAAAAAATACAATTTTCATTTCTTTGCCAGCTTGGAAAATATAGGCTTATTTTTACTTAAACGTGATATAAAGCTCATTAAAATGTTCTGTAATGTCTTGTTGTAAGTTTGTTATCATAGTTCTTCGTATTTTTATTGTCCACTAAACGTGAGTGGCTTCAATTTAAAAAGTTCTAGTACAAAGAATTTCTTTGTTTTGAATTTGTTTGTTTATTGTTTTTAATTTTTAAAATTCATACTTTTGACATGTATGTGAATGGCGGAGTTGCCGCTTTCCTCCTTTTCGGTGGGTTTTAATATTAAAAAGGCATCAAAATGGGAAAAACCCCCCCTTGGTATCTCTGCATCTGTTAAACTTTTTATGGGAAGATGTATGAAAATTCAACTTGCTATAATTTCATATGCTTAACAGTATCACAACAGTATGTTTACAGTATCTCCCCATAACTTTTCATATGAAAAAATTTATTATATGCATACCACTCCATATCATTGAATTCCTCATTAGAACATGTAGTCCCTCTATTTTAGCGTATCAACAGTTCATATGGCTTCATACCATGTAAATGCGCCATTACGCAGCGCCTGAGCTCAAGCCCAGTTTCCCACCAACATCAAAATATAAATAACAAAAAAGTTTTTTCTAATAGCGGTTGCCCCTCTGTTGGTAATAGTAAACCTCCGAGTATATTGTCATGGAAACGACTTCTCATAAAAATACAATTGCCGTTCGGAGTCGGCGTAAAACTGTCCTTTACTTTGTGTGACAAAATTACGCACGCCACATATCGTGGGAGAAGCTAGGCCAAACACTAACATATTGGCCCGTAGTCATAGTCAAAATAAAGTCGACTTTAAAGTTAGTTGCAGCTTTTTTGACAGATATCCCATTGAAAATTATGTCAAAAAGCTGCAACTAACTTTAAAGTCGACTTTATTTTGACTATGACTACGGGCCATTGTGTAAGCGCCAATATGTATATCGTCGTTTAAAGTACAAAAGCGCGTATCGTGGTTCTGCAAAACCTCGTAACTGACATTTGTGCCAAAAAAGATATTTGGTCACCGCAAGCTCCTGGCATCAAGCCCTCATAAACGAAAGACACAAGATCACGTAAGAACAAGAGAGTGAAAAAAGTCGATTTTTTTAGCGGGTTCTACGCCATCTTGTTTCACTGGAAAACGAGCGAAAAGTAAACAAAGCAAAGAAAACAACGAAAACCAAAATTAGCCAAAATTATTGTCAGCCACTTTAAACGCACAATTTAGGTAAAATGATGCAACAAAATGCTTTAAAATGTGTTGTCATGTTGAATTAACTCTTCTTTACTTGAATAAAAGTGTAAAATAGTGGTGCTTGTGATGTAAACAAACGCCCAGCTGACGAACCCGCTTTCGCAAACTTTTTTCTCAAAACCAGTTACAAATACAAAGTCGCGTTCTTACGTGATCTTGTATTTTTGGTTCATGTCAAGCCCTTAGCCATTTACAAAGAACGTAAAATACGTTTTGTGATTGGATGAAAAGAGAAAGCACGCTCCTGATGTTCACCCTCGCTACAATTATAACGTGTTGTCTCCTCTTATAGATTTACGCTCTTTGCCATTTATAATAAAATATCGATACTTAGACATAAGGAGAAGAGATAATTAAGTTTAAAAGAGAGAACCGTTTTTAATTAGGACATGTTTTACACTCTCCTATAAAATTTAGGCAACCTCACATACGAGGTTTTGAATTTTTTTGATGCGCGGTTTTGTACTTTAAACGACGATATGTAGAAGTATTGCATACATATTTTGGTGCCTTCTCAAATATAAAATCCATTGAGAAACGAAAGAAAACGGCATCCCTATGATTTCAACTTATGCCAAATGTTTCGTAAACAAGCAATTCTGAACAAAAAACTGTTTTTCCACAAAGATGTTTAAATGGAAGCATTACAAATAAGGAAAAATTGCAATCCACAAGGCTTTATTGGCAGTAGGTCCTTTTTAAAGCACATTTAACAAAAAAATAAGCTATTAGTTTCGAAGTTAGCACAAAATGAAATTTTTTTGTTTGTTGTTTACAAAAAAATACTTGCCAAGTATATAAATCAAAATTGTTACATATATATCGCTTTCATTCATTTCTTCATAGAGTTGGTGCTTCTTTTATAGGAAAATTCATACGGCTTATGAACAGATTCATACCATGTAAATGCACCATAATTTGTTCAAAAGTCAATAGGCCGCAAGGTGCGTCGTTTGCGGCAAAGCATTCAACGCGTGCACGTTAAACAGCCAGTTTTAGCGTGTATATTGTACTTAATGTGAGGACAAAATTGAATTGAATTTTTTATAAAAATTTGATATCAATATATTTGCTTAAGTATTTAATTGAGCCAATTATAGTTAGGAGTATCCAAAAATTTCTAATTAATAAAATAAAAATTAGCAAATTGTGCTGGCAATACCACAAAATTACTCGCCATTTTGTTTTGCGTTTTTCACCACTTGGGTGCATAAAAAATTTTAAGAAGGCGAGACAAGTTTGCTGCAAATTTCAAATTGGATTGAAAATTGCTCATAATATTGAAGAGAGTGAAATAAAAAGTTTTATGATTAAAAGAGTTATGTTTTAAGACATGATTTGTGATTGATCTTAAAGGCAAGGTAGGCTTATTTGCTAGACGGCCTAATTAACAGCAGAACATGGGTCGTCTTCGTATCCAGTGTGGTAGAAAAGGCGTTGATTTATTTTTTCAACTATTGTCGACGGACTACAACCAATATCTTTAAATTGAGTACGACCATGGTTTTTGTTAAAGAATGTATTTTTTTAATGAAAAGGAAGGGACACTTTTTTAGAAGTTGTGTATAAATGGTAAATGAATATGTATGTGTTACATAAAATTTAATTGAAGTTCTTTGAGCGATAAGAAATCACAAGTAAGGTATGCGATGAGTGACGAATGTGTGTATGTAAATGTAGGGCTGGTATAAAGTAGTAAGATGATATACTATTGTGTTAGGGTATATTATATCAATTGAGATAGAATAATTGTAGAAGTGTTTTATTTTTAATAATAAATTTCTTGGCTTATCTATTGCCATTTAGCTGCTAGTCTCAAAGTCGAAAAAACCTTGGTCTTGGATAATAGGCTGCGTGTAATCTCTTGCCTGTTTTTGTACAATGGGTGTTTCTTTAAAAGTCATGAATGGTTTTTTTCTAATAGGTATTTGAAGGCCACAGTTGTTTATATAGAATCGCTAAGTTTCATAATTTTTTGCGTAAGAAAAATTCAATGCAACGTCAATAAGAAAAAAAAAAAAAATATGTCGCCCCCTAAAGAAAACAAGAAGAAGAACAGGAAACAGCGATAAATGTTCAAAGCAAATACATTAGTCTTTTTTACTGAAATTTATAGAATAGCACAGTCGTAGACCATAACAAAAAAATTAGCATATATAATCAAAATTATGGTAGTTTATATACATATTTACATCAATTTACTTGAAGGATCCTGACGGTGCAGTGAAGCTATCAATACCAATAGAGTCAGCTTACGTCAGCACCTTCACGGGAGAAAATAACATGAATAACGATGCCACCTGCACGCCCTGGAAGTCTTAAAGATCCGGAAATAGCCGATCTTTTTAACAAACATGACCCTGAAAAAATATTTGAAGATCTGCGTGAGATTGGTCATGGATCATTTGGCGCTGTTTATTATGCGCGATGCAATCTTACCAAAGAAATCGTGGCCATCAAAAAGATGTCCTATTTGGGCAAACAGAGCCTTGAAAAATGGCAGGATATTCTTAAAGAAATCAGGTGAAGTGTTTCACTATGAGAGCAATCAGTTGATTGACTTACATATAATTTTAGATTTCTACGTCAATTGAATCATTCCAACACCATCGAGTATAAGGGCTGCTATTTACGTGAATCCACAGCGTGGCTAGTGATGGAATATTGTGTCGGTTCGGCTTCTGATATTATCGAAGTGCATAAGAAGCCGTTACATGAGAACGAAATAGCTGCGATTTGTGATGGCGTTTTGAACGGTCTAAGTTACTTACATAGCTTAGGGCGCATACATAGGGATATAAAGGCAGGGAATATCCTTCTCACGGATAATGGTATTGTCAAATTGGCTGATTTTGGCAGTGCTGCCATTAAGTGTCCAGCTAACAGTTTTGTCGGCACGCCGTACTGGATGGCGCCAGAGGTAATTCTGGCTATGGATGAAGGCCAGTATGACGGTAAGGTAGATGTGTGGTCATTGGGTATAACTTGCATTGAACTCGCTGAAAGAAAACCTCCATATTTTAATATGAATGCAATGTCTGCGCTTTATCACATTGCACAAAACGATTCTCCAACATTATCGGTAAGCCAGATTATTTTTCATAAAAGAGATATTAACAAAGATTATTTAACTTTCAGAAAAACGAATGGTCGGACACGTTTTGCAATTTTGTTGAGTTGTGTCTTAAAAAAATGCCAGCCGAGCGTCCGTCGTCTTCGAAACTTCTTAAGCATGCATTTTTGACGCAGCCACGTTCAGATATAGTTTTGTTGGAATTGATTGCACGGACAAAAGCGGCTGTGCGGGAATTGGATAATTTGAACTACCGTAAAATGAAGAAAATCCTTATGGTAGACACCTGCGAGACTGAGAGCGCCATCGGGGATACAGACGATACACAAGACGAACATGCCGGTGGCGATAGCAGCAAGAGTAATAGCATTACTTCCGAACACTCTATACAATCAGTGGGTGTGTCTGCGGCCAGTAGTCAAGTAGTACAGCTATCCCAACCTTACACACTGGTACAAAGGTGCACAACTAATTATTTATATTTTATAGAGCTCTTCGTCAAATTCTATTCCCACCGCCCAAAATCATATAATGACTCAACAGCAGCATATTGCTGTAAACTATCAACAACAAGCGGTTGCAGCAGCGGCTGCGAGTGGTGCGGCTGCTCGAAATTCATCACGTCAGCGTAATCTGCCACCATTACCTAACATAATGCACAATATGAATAATAATGTTACACCTACGAATTCGACTTCGGTCGTCCCAGCACCTATAATGCCTGCTTCGGTTACAGTTCATTCAGGAGGGGGATCCCCTGCTGCAACAGCGAATATGGGCACTGGCATGTTATCTCAGGCTATCGGTGTTGGTGTTGGTAGTGCTGGTGGCGCTGGAGATCGTATGCCACGCTATTTGTCATCACCCGCCGCTGCTGCAGCAGTATATGCCGCATCGTCCCAGCAAGCCATCTCAAATGTCGTAAATGAGCACGGACCGAATAATTTTGCAACTATTCGCACTACCAGCATTGTAACAAAGCAACAAAAAGAACACATGCAGGTAAATAATTCACGTTAATTTATGTATATCTGTATGATAAATTTGTGGCCAAGGAACGTTTGATATTAGGGCTGGGGCTATCTGTATATTCCAATGTCGAATATCCGTTTGTAATTCGGTTAATATCCCTTAATTTGGTTATACGGATATTCTGTTCCAGCGAATTGTAAAATAAATAAATAGTTTAGTTTAATTTAGTTTATTATTAGCCAATGAATACAAAAAAATTCGTATAGGCTAAGTGGATAACCCGTACCCGAACCCGTAATAAAAACAAGTGTGAAAATAACTACTTTAAAAAAGATTTAGGGAGTTAATGAAGTTTTTTTAACTGAAAAATCATTATCAACATGCTGAGAAATTCTGTTGAACTAAATCAGGGCCCTAGTAATTGAAGCATTTCGTGCATGCAGAGCCTTAAAAATGCCAATGTGGAAAAATTCGGGACACCGAAGTGGTCTGGCAGGTATGTTAAAGGAAATCCTCTCAAGGAGTTCGGGGCAGTCTACAACACCATAAACGATATCATGACGGAAGGACAGACAAGATTGTTCTCCTACTCTGCAGGGGTTTTAGATGTATCAGTAGACATCTCGATTCATGGGTGGGAATAAGCTACGAAGCGTAAAGCGTAAAAATACCTTCTATATACGTTCGATCCTTGTAATGTGGATCCTTGTAAAGGACGTGTATTCAAGCCTAGAACGAACAAATGCCCTATTTCAATGTATAGGGATCGGTGAATTCAGAGCTATGACGCCGAACGAAAGCATAATTAATGTGACTAGTGAATGTGACAAGGTCTTTTATTTCATGCACATGTTGGAGTGGTGATAAAGAGATGTGGTAGGAAGTCTCAATTACATGACTACATTTAGCAAAGGTAACATGAAGACATTTATTTATATTCAGCGAGAGTCGATTTATGTTACACCATCTGCTGACGCTATCAAAGTCGATCTGCATCAATTGAGAGTCACGAGGGTTACTAATAGAAGCATAGATCTTAAGATCACCAGCATAGAGTAGAAATTCAAGGAAGAGAAATATGTATTAATATCGTTGGTAAACAAGACAGACCCAGGATTCTACACTGTAGGACTCCTGAGCTTGCGACAAAAGGTAGGGACCTGACATTGTCAACGGCAACAATGCAGCGGCGATTCCGTAAATAAGAAGCAATACAAGTCAGGAAAACTGACTGAAACCCAATAGAAGCTAGCTTTTTTAATAGGGTAACGTGGGAAACCCTATCGAAGGCCTTAGCGGAGTCAGTATAAACAGTGTCAACCTGAACTCCAGATTGAAAAGCAGCTATACAAACGTCTGAAAATACTGCCAAATTGGATACAGTTGAGCGACAAGGAATGAAGCCATGCTGCTCTGTACATACTCAATTCTTAACGGCAGGTAAAAGTTTTCCTTGGATAATGCATTCAATTTAGAGATGGGTCTATTATTACTGACGTTGCTTTTATTAACGCTCTTGAAGAACGGAGTGATGAAATCTAATTTCCAATCGTTTTTAAAGACACCCGAAAATAAGAATTTTTTTTAAATTTTCAATAAAGTATAGATGTCTAAAGATTGTTGAATGTTGAAAGAAACATTCTCATCTACATATGTCCGAATCATTAACGTAATTTGATTGACAAAATTACGCAAACAAATTAGCAGCAGCTGTGGGTGTATTAACCGCTTTAACGCGTAGAAATAGTGTTGAGGGAATATTAGAACATTTTTTTTTTGTCCAAACATACGAATTTCTTAAAAAAATTGTAAAGGCTGAAGTAAACGTTATTATTGAGTTTTTTTTTGAACTTGCGAAGATACCTGTACTTTTCATGTCGGAGTTTCATCAGGTTTGCGTTGTGCCAGGGCACTTTATATTGCTTCTTTGTTAAGATTGGAGCAATACTTTTACAAATGCCGACATCACAGTGGTAAAACAAGCTATCCCAGTTGGTGTTCAAAAAAAGATTGTCCAATTTGGAGAAATGGCATAATTTAAAGTTGAAGGACAAATTAAAACTAGCGTCGCAAACTTTAGCATATTGATAAAATTCAAGTTTAACAACTAGGGGAACATGAAGAGTATGAGGCTTGGATATAGGAAAGTTACATTCATACACGGATAAATTTACAGTTTTACTTAGGAAACTTAAATCTAAAACCCGAGATCAGCACATTAATACGCCAACAATTGTTATTTAATTGTTACTTTTCAAAATATCCGGATATTTATATACTATCAGGATATCAACACACTATTGGCATTACTGTATAATTCGGATTTTGTTTAGGTATGCGAATATCCAGAATAAGCGGATAGTCAAAGTATCCTGAAAAAACTCCCAGACATACTTGGTATAAATTTTAAAGTTTTTTTTTTCCTAAAGTACACCATCTAGGGGAAAATTCAGTTTTATCAAATTATATTTTCACAATTCCAGTATGTAATATGTTCATAAAGTAATACATTTCTATGATTTATGAATACAAAGACTGGAACACTCTTTAGTGCATGATACTAGGATTGTTTGTACCCTAGATCATAAATTTAGGATTACGAACTTTTGTGATCGGAATCTTAAATAATTATTGCTTATATGAAGATGCATTTTGCAAATCTGAAATGGTTATCTTATTATCCTTGCTCGCTAAAATAGTGGATATTTCTCGCAAAGCAAGCATTAGTCGTCCCCTTCGAAACAGTGCGTTAGTTGAGTTTGACGAAAACAGTTAATAGACTAGTCGATTTAGGTGGGTCTTAGTAGTAGCGCTACAAAAATTTGAACCCAGCGAAGTTTAAGCGGCTATAAATGGAGTATTTTAAGTCATGTTATCATAAAAATTTTTTTTTTAACTTTGATTTTTCAGATGTGTATGTACATACGTATATTTATAAGGTTTTAGCTTTTCGATGTCAATTCTTTAAAGAATTTCAAAGAAAATTTGAATATCGTGGCTCATCTACTTCATTATAACATGCATAATGTTTATATTCCAATTTAATTTTTCTATACTGGCAACTAATTCAAAATTACTCTCGATAGGAACCGTACAAATACACCCTGTGCCCATCAAAATGCGCTGAAAGAGGCAATTGTATAATCTCTTAATTAATTGAGACGAAAAACGAAGAAAAGCGATATGTATTTAAAACATCTGATGGCCGAAGTAAAACAAAAAATCTCACGCACTCCATTTGAGAAACGACACTGCCTATTATCTAAATAATTTCGTTATTTTGATATGTGATACTTAACTACTCATGACTGTCCTATTTACTGGGCTTCATTGTGGCTGCTTCTGGGTTTTCAAAATTTTTAAATCGAAGTTATAAAGGATCTAGTTGTGCTACACATTTGGATTTTGGGTGTGAAGTAATATCTTATTAATTCCTTTGACCGTTCAGGATAAGCTTCTGCCAACTTGCTAAAGAAAACATCAATTGAAGGGGTTAGAATCAAAAGGATCTAAGTAGTTCTGAAATTTTTTTGAGATAATTAAGTTTAAAGTTGATTACTTATTGTAAATTCTGGGTAAATGCATTTGAAATGATTCCTGCCTAAATGAATGCAGGTTAATTAACTAATTTAAATGAATGTTACTCTTTGTCACCACATAAACACTATTAGGGTACTCACAGTTCTATATTATCTACTGTGTTAATTTTGCCACCTGGTAACTTTAAAACATTTTACCATGTGGTAACTTTGTTTGTTGTTGGTTCCCATACTAATTGGAGATAACACTTTTGGGCAAAATTACTAGACTTTGTCTCATGTTTATGTTCTGTGTTAAACTGGCATTTATCGCTGCTTGTACATACATACATGAATTTCGCTTTGGGCGCAGCGCTGCTTGTACATAAGTTTCTCTTTGCGCCTGCCTGGAGCTGGCAAAGGTTATTTTTTTTTTTTTTTTTTTGCGCTGTGCTAGCTGAGTATAAAAAAGAGAAGAGAGAATAGAGAGAAATATGTATGTGGTTTGTTGATGCTCTCTAAACACAAACGCGTGAAAGGCAAACGGTCTAGCAATGCGTGGTATTGTTGATCAACTTAATACTTTATTTAAACATAAGGGTTGCTCACAGTTCGAGTGTGTTATCTTGTTAAAGTTGCCACCTTTTAACTTTAGAAGTAAACTGTGAGTACCCTATATATTAACCTATACAAATATGGGTATAACTTATATTTTCAAAAAAATGGCAATTACAGCCGAAGGTTTCTGAACTTCATTAAATTAACTCTAACGGGCACTTAACTAATGATCGTTAAATCAGTTAATTAATAGGGGTATTCTCTGAGTCTTGCAAAGCCCTTGCACGGTGCACGGATTGCACGGTTTGCAAAGCTGTCCCATACGAAAACCGGTTTTAACCGTGCAATCCGGGCAATCTGTGCACCATGCAAGGGCTTTGCAAGACTCAGAGAATACCCCTAATGTTTCCACTCAGAGTTAAAAATTATGAAATGAAAAAATTTAACTATGGCCCCAGTTGCGGCCCCTTTTTTGTGGCATCACTCACTTGTTGTTGTTGTTGTAGCGGCACTACTAAGCCCCGCCTGTTTCGGGTCAACTTTTAATCATTATCGTCAAGCTCAACTAACGGTAGGCCCAGGAAACGAGCTGTTTCGATGGGGTCGGACCAAAGGGAGAGGGGTGTTAGTTGAGTCGGATTGAGCTGGCATGTGAAGAGGTGGTTGGTGTCGTGGGGGGAGTCTCCACATGCCGGGCACTCATTTGGGATGTTTGGGTCGAGTCTGGACAGGTAGCTGTTTAGGCGGCTACAATATCCAGACCGTAACTGAGCCAGGGTAACGCGGGTCTCTCTAGGTAACTGAAGCTCCGTCTCTTCCACAGGTGGTGATTGGGCTCCGATAACGACATTCCTAGGCCGGGAGTCGAGGTAGGTGGAGACAGACTCCCTATGAATGTCGTTGATCGCTCGTCTGTACGTCATTGGGTCCAGTGGTTGGTCTGTGTGGGTCTGG